TGGAATAAAATATTCATTGAATTTGAATATTAGATTATCCAATGTCAACTCTTTTATATTAACATTAAATGAATTATAGATTTTTAAAGCAGCTTTACCAATAAAGTGTAAAAATATTGATATTTTTCGTATTTCGGGCTGGCTATCATAGCCACTCGCAATTAAATAAATATTAAACTCTTGAAGCCAATCGGACCAATTTTGACATAAATTTCCATCTAAGGATAGTTGGCTTAAATTACCAATGAGACCTGACGACATCGTGTTTGTGTTGGTGGACATTTGGATATTAGCGCACATGGTTTGATGCGGCTCGTTTACTGATTCATCATGTTGTGATCCAGATTTATCTGCTTGATCCTTCTTTTTTCGACCCATAATGAATCAACACCTGACACCATGTTGTATTTAATATATTTTAAATAAACTATGACACTGTTATAATACTATTATATGACATGAACATTACTTATACATTATACTACGTTGACACTCAACGACTTATAACTTATAACAAAGTACTAACTGCTAAATATGATAACATGTAGTGGTGATATAATTATTATTATTATTATTATTATTACAGTGTTACCTTATTATAACACCTCGTTTTTGCCCCTGTGCTTTCGGTTGGCATGGTAGGCCAACACGCATTGTGGTGATTAGTAATGTACTCATTATTGGCTTACCCAATTATTAGTTTGCTTTTTTTATTCTCTTTGTCTTTGAGTGTTTTGCCTGACGGCTTTCTCAGCGGTTAACTACACAATTAAAATATAATTCTCACAAGGTAAGATTTTTTTAAGTATCTAAATATTTTTATTCAAATACTTCACAACACTGGGCACATATATTTACAAATGTACATAATTTACACATTACACCAGCGATTCCCAACCTCAGGTCGCGACCCAAATTAGGGTCGCGGAGGTTTTTATGGCGGGTCGCGAAATCATTACATACGTCTTACAATATTATTAAAAAAAAATAAAAAAATCCTGAAATATTCTAATAATAAGAATTATAATGATCGAGGAAAAAATAATTTGAAATAGATTATCTAAATGATCTGTCGCGGGCTGTGCGTGGTCGTACCCGCATAGCGTAGAAACAGGTATATAATTTATATTTTTGCTCATAATACTAGGTATTTCACGAAATGCTTATCTTAGTTTTCGTATAGGTACGAATGTTATTCGTATTGATTCTTGTTAAATGTATTTATTAGTTTTTCAATCAGTCGTTCCGTTCTCGTCATACGTACCTACTCGTTATTCTAGCCGCGTATAGTGCGTGTTTATTGGTTTAATTAAATTTTTTCATGATTTAACTTTTTCACAGTCTTTTTGTAATGGCTAAGCGCGCTTTGCCGTATAAAGATGATTTTTTGAAGTTTGGTTTTACTGAAATCAAAGATCGATCGGGATTAGTGCGTCCTCAATGTGTGTTCTGCCTACAAGTCTTGTCGAATGAATCAATGAAAGCAAATAAACTCAAGCGGCATCTTAACACTGTTCATCCCACTTTTTTCAGAAGAATAATCAATATTGGAGTAATTGTGTTGGAATATTTTCGGATGGTGCACCGGCAATGCTTGGAAATCGAATAGGATTTTGTAAGCGAGTTCAAGAAGTTAATTCAAACGTTGTTATAATTCATTGTTTTTTACATCGAGAAAATTTGGCAACCAGAGCAATTCAGCCAGAACTTAATTCAGTACTACAAGACGTAATTCAAATTGTCAATTTTATAAAAGCAAGAGCATTAAATTCAAGAATATTTCATGCCATGTGTGACGAGATGGGAGCACAGTTTGTAAATTTACTTTATCACTCGGATGTACGTTGGCTTTCCCGTGGAAAAATTCTTAAGCGTGTTATGTCTTTGCGTTTAGAAATACATATTTTTCTAAAGGAAAAAAAACACTCATTGGCTGATAAATTCAATGACGATTTGTGGGTTTCTAAATTGGCTTTTTTAAGCGATATTTTTGGACGGTTAAATGAGTTGAATATTGAGATGCAGGGGAAGAATAGAACTATGGTCAATATTGGTGAAAAAATATCCTCATTCAAACAAAAGCTAGAAAAGCTATCTCGAGGAAAAATTGCCACATTTACTCTTTTAAGTGAATTTCTTGAAGATTCAACCAAAATTACATTGGATGACATAAAATTACTGCTTCAAGAGTACTTGAACAAATTACAGTTAGAACTCGATCGATATATACCAGAAAACGTAGAGCTCAGTAAATACAGTTGGGTGAGAAATCCGTTTGAAATTTCTGTTCACCAAGTTGGTGAAGATATTTGCGGTTTCCAAAAGGAACTTCTTGACCTTCAAGCTGACCAAGTCGTAAAAGAAAATTTTTCTCAAAAGTGCCTAACCCAATTCTGGGCACAGCTTAAAGATAAACCAATTTTAAAAAGAGAATCTGAAAAAGCATTACTACCATTCCCTACCACATATTTATGTGAAGCCGGATTTTCAACTTTAGTTGTCATCAAAACAAAGTATAGAAATCGCCTTGATCCTCAACACGATATGCGATGTGCACTTTCAATGAATATAAATCCAAACATTGAAGAACTTGTGGAAAGTGTTCAGCATCATTAAGATTAAGTTTAAATTAATAAATTAATTCCATATTACCTACATTTGAAAAAATTAATAAATTATTTTTATAATTCATTTTATACAAATATTTTAGAATAGAATATAGATAGATAAATCAACAAATATACATATTTACCAATTTGATGATAATAAATAAAATAATGTTGAGTTTACAATAAATTATGAATTTTTTTTTTTTGGGTCGCCAAAAGTTAAACCTAAAATATTGGGGTCACGCTTATAAAAGGTTGGGAACCGCTGGTTCACACGTAAGTAGACACTTAACATCCTATACAAATTTCATTATATTATATAAGTATACTAAGTACCTAGGTATATAGGAAAAAACTGCACACTATTTACAATTAGTTAAATATTATAAACCAATTAAGTTAACACACAAATATGGATACAAATTACTACAAGCACATATTTACAAGTTTATATTAATGTGAATGACTAATTATTGGGCAGCATGTATTAAAAGTTCTTCTTCGCCTATAGACAAAGATTATTAATTATTATATTAGATACGAGGTATGCTCTTTTTACTAGGAATATAACCAGAATAATATATTTACCAGGATGTGCACCAATTTCTTGGGCAATTTAACCATCTCCTCAATGGCCAGTTCTCCTTAGGAAGGTTACCAAGCTATCAGGATTTAAATCTCGAGAGAGTTCCTCAAGAAACTCTAATAGCTGCTGTATTATGTACGTGAGCTGGTTGGTACACTGTTACGAATCTGTTAAAATATAAAATAATATATGAAAACCATAGGTATATATTTTTATTTCAGATGAATTTATATATTACGTTTTTTGTTTCTTACTTTTAGATTCCGCATCGCTTGCCTAAATTCAATATCATATTGATTCTCCATGAAAAGTAACTGAGCTGTAAATAAGTGGGTATGTATTACTTATTTTCATATTATAAATAAGTTAATAATTAGTCTGTAGTTTTTGAATTCTTTACAGTTTACTTACCTTAGTATTATTTAAGAAACATTATGTATTACTATTTATTATATCTCATATCTACTATACTATACATAAAAACATACATTTTTAAAGATATTAGTAGGTACTATTACCATATAACTTTTACATATTAATATATCATACGCATCATACTTAACTGACTTGGAAACATCAGAGTTATGATACCATGATACGAATATTCTATGTCATCAACATACTCTTACATATTAAATAATCATACTTACCTAAAATATACAACTTTAAAGATGCCACCACACAACAATTTACCTCGCTTCATCTTACTTCATTTGGGCTTTAATATTGATAACATATGATCAAAATATTGAAAAGGTATCTGAATATACTTGGCAGCATGTGTAAGTAGCCTCTAAACTGTAAAATAAGTTAAAACATGAATTTTACCGTGCAACATTTAAAAATAACATAAATTAAATCAAAATACAAATAATTAATTTCTTAATTTCTACAATAGAAACTACTTACCCCCATAAAATAAACACAAATTATGGTTACGTTTCTACATGCAAACACATAAAATATTAGGTACAAGGTAAATAGAAACAAATATCACAAAATTACAAGAGATACAAATTAAAGTAACTTGAATCATACTAAGGAATTCCCACACTTTGGGATGCGGCTTAATTAGTCTCAATATTGTAGCGTGGTAAGTTTCGATGTAATTATTGGTCCTTATGTCTTGATTATAAACAGTTATTGCCGACGGTCCCATTGTGCCAAACCAATATGCCCAAACATAGTTTAATAAGAAATCTGTAAGTTGTGCTGCTATTTCTGGATATTCATGAACATAATCTACAATTGACTGAAATTCATCTATCATTGACTTGACGATATCGCCTTGGCGTATTGCTGGCAAATATGGCAAAGCAAGGATCTTCAGCAAAATAAAAAGTTTATATAATTTCATTGTTAAGTCAATTCAGTTGTTAGTTCAGATAATTTATGATTTTGCAGTTATGGGATTCGTTTTCATTAAATTGAATACTCTAACCTTTTTATTTCTTGCATGCCGTATGACAGCCTTAATAAGTTGAAAATAGTTTAATTAATATACAGTTTAAATTTTAATAAGCTAACATGTTATGTACTTGGCAGAAGTGAAAATAACATCCTTGATGTTGACTTTCTGGAAGAACAATTCTTATAACATTAATGAGACCGATTTCAAATCGGTAATTAATATTATATTGTTGTACAATAAGGGCACCACATTTTTTATGTACAACAACGCGACATGAATATCTTCGGTTTTTCCAGTTAGAATTGCATATACCAGTGGAAAAGTCTGTTAAAAAATATTACAGAATAGTTTACTAATTAATTAAATAGGTAAATTAAAACTTACAACATCTTTATAAATTACATGGAAAGTAAATAACTGGTACATATCATTTTCTAAAAATGTAGGCACTACTTTAAATGTGCCATCACATCCACGGACCTGTATATACAAAGCAATGATTTTTTACAATTGGTTGTGAAGAAATGTTATTTAATAAATGTACATTTTGTAATTCTGGCGTTATTTCTTCTATGTTTGCGGTATTACAAAATAGCACAACCTTACAAATGCCATTCCACCGCACACTAGAAAAGCAAAACTGCTTAAAGCAGACTAAAACAACTTTATTATGACTAATGAATAATGGAACATGTGTAATGTAATAGGAGCGCGCATACACAATAGTCATAGTCAAAATAAAGCATTTTTGCCTTTAGTCATTTATAGTCATGTTTCGACCAGATAGAACATGCGCTATTTTGGCTAGTCAACACGGAAAAAAATAATAGTTGTGGCAACCGTTTAAACAGTTAATTTGACCCTAAATTTCAAGTTAGCATAGCGACAGCTATTCATTTAGTTGTTATTACCATTCGGGTTTAGTTGTATTTATTTAGTTGTACTAACCTATAAATTGCGGTTGTTGCAACTAAAAATATAAACAAATTTTACTACGAAAAACAGTTGTCGTAACTATATAAAGGGGCTATCCTACAATTTCGATTAGTTATATTTAACTAAATACATTGCTTAATATAACTATCAAATATTGATGTCGTAACTATATTAAGTAGTTATCATACATTTTTGATAAGTTGTTGTAACTTAACACATTACTTGACATAACAACTAATTTTATTGCCAGGACTGTATAAATTAGGTATTCTAAATTTTTTATCGTTACTGTAACTAAATATAATGCTTAATATGACTATTAAATATTGTTGTCAGGACTGTATAAAGTAGTAACTCTACCTTTTTTTTTGAGTTGTTGTAACTAAATTCCATAAATAATGTAACTATAACCCTTGGGTGAAATCAAGGGGGCATAGCCGCCTTAAAAATCCGTCAATTCCCCTCTTTTTTTTTTAGTTTTATAGGATCGAAGGCCCTCTCACATATTGATGTTATTTAATGTTAGATGTTACCCCCTGATATTTTAGGAGATTTCCGCCAATATGACTATAACACATCAGTAGCGTAATTAGGAATTTGGTTTGGGGGGGTTATACGTTTTTAGCAAACATGAATAGTCATTACCAATACATTGATCAAAATTTTAGCAATAAAAAAAAGTTTTGGCGGATCTATCCCCCTCACCACCTAATTACGCCCCTCTGCAACACATAGTTATCATAACTAATATTTGCATATTAATCGTTACTAAAACATAATAGTAAAAAGTAATGGTTAATTATATTCATTAAATATATTGGGATTTGAATAAATAAAAACAAAATATTAACTTTTATAAATATTAGGTATATATATTTTAATGTTTACAGTATTAAAGGTATATAACTAAGGCCATTTTGTTTTATACAACAAAATGTAGGACTATAATTAGGCAAATCTGTAAAGTTTGAAGAAGATATAATTTGAGTTTTCTCAACATAATATGATTGTAAATGTTCATTAAAATTAATTGTTTTAAGCACTTCAAAAATACCTAAAGCTGTAAGGTCAGGCAGTATAGAAATGTATTTTAAAAAACCAAAAACGGGTAAATCTGAAATATCCAATACCAAATACATATTATTTGTAGTGTAACGAATATTTTTTACTTCAATCCAAGAGACAAAATTAGAGTGTTCTATACATGCATAATTTAAAACAGAAGCTAAATTTTTTTTTATGTCTGAAGAATACATTATATTTTTACTTACATTTAAAGAACATGAAAATTTAGAATATTTGTAAATTTGAGTATATGTATAGGCCATTTTCAACTGATTTTTTAACATTAACGTATAACAAATATTTTTCCTACTTGATATTGCTCGCGCAGCAATTTTTGATTCTTTATGTTTGGCCTCAAACCGCATAGACCAAATATTAATCAATGGACCTACTTGCTCCATAATATAAGGGTAATGAATCAAATGGTGAAATTTTGGTTTCAAGTTAATTTTGGTTAATTCTAAATATAAGGCATGATGTTCTGATATTAACATTTTAAGTAAGTATGGGCATTCGAGCCCTATTGATCGAGTAGTGGTCAAATCAAGTATTTTTTTAAGCAAAATGTATAACTTCCAAAAGTCTGATTCTATAGGTACCAAATCACCCATCATGAGACCAAAGAATCGTACAAAACACCACATTTCCGACGCTGACATTTTACATATTGTAGGGCTGTTACTTTTTAATGAGTGTTCACTTATTAGTGGTGGTCGGTTTTTAATTTCACTTGGTCCATAATCAAAAAACCGAATTCTGTTATTTAAGACTTCTAAGCTAAAATACTTGAATTCTAAAATAAAGTTTCTAATTATACTTGACATGTCATAGTTACATACACCTTCAAGTAAATCATGCATTAAATCAACAGAATAATTGTAAACAACATGAAATGAATTTACATCATTCCAAATACATGATTCAACAATCCCAGTTAGTGCAACATTTTTAGTATTAACATCATCATTATAATTATCAACATTTCTCAAATTTTCGTTAGTTTGGGAAATTTGTGCATGGCACTCCTCTTTTGAACTATGACAAAACCTACAAGGATAATTAGAAACAAAACATTCAGTGAACCCCAGG